GGGGGGGGTCATGTGAAGGGGGAGGGCTAGGGTTCATACGGCATTGCCATCTGGTTACACTGGGGTATTTAAAGTTTAGCTCATGTGGTGGGATCCTTGGAATATGTCTCTCGCCATGGTATGTGTGATCATCATCTGCTTGTCTTTGTGTGGCAAAATTGTGAACAGGCTTATTTGACTGAAATTTGAGCACAGACCATCTATTTTTGATCAAAAGTCTCTCAAGGGGCACTTGGATAACTCAGCAAAGAACTCTGCTTGATCTACTTTTCAAGGACACTGAGGTCAAGAGACAATATTCGACTATTGTCTTGTTTAAAATAAGACACTCTTGTAATGGAAATAAGGACTAGAAGTAGTTACTTGTGATGCTTAAGATAAAAAAATAGAAACTCAAAAACAAGTTTAAAGATCATTATACATTCTCAGTGATTTTGGAAAGGGTAACATTATACACATATATGGGTGATGAGGGAAAATTGCCTAAATTTCTTGATAATTTTTTTAAAATTTTTTATTTATTTTATTATTATTATTATTATTAATTTATTATTATTATTATTATTATTTTTATTTATTTATTTATTTATTTTTTGCGGGGGCACTATATATACTTGTAAATATCAAATTTTCGTTGTGTGACTTTTAAGTAGTTAAAACCACTTCTGCAATAGTACTGGTTCACGGCAGCGATTGAATGATTATATTTCCTCTGTGGAATAGACATACTGTTATTGTGGTTTAGTAATTAAGGCGAGCATGCCAGACTGATTTTTTTCCCCTTCTTTTTCTTGGTCTCCTTTATTTCATTAGTTCATGTCACATCAATCAACTCAGATATCTTTTGAAGATGTTCCTTGTGTCTTTTAAAAAGATCACATTAACCTTCAAGTCTAGACAACAGAGAAACAAAAAAGAAAAAATAAAAAACAAGTACATATACAGGCTGTATTTGTTCATCTTTATCTTAATTGATACGTTTAAACTATAACTTTTGTACTCTTACAATATATAATATTTTCTGGGACTTCACCAGTTCCTGCAGGTGTTAAGTTTAATCCAAATATTTCTGACTTTATCATGAACAAATAATTTTATAATTTCAGAGAGGCAATATCTCAGACAGACAAAGCAAGATTTGGGGAGCTTTGCCAAGTAAGTTTATGGTGAATGATAAACAGTTGCAAAACCCAAATATACTATATTTTACCCTTCAAACTACTTGTAGCCAACAAAAAGAAAAACAGACAGTATTACAGAAGAAAAAGGACGGTACATGGTGATTTATCTGTGGACTGCGGAGGAGCTAGATCTAGATAAAAACACACCAAGGCATATCAGTACCAGAGATATGTATATATCTGCCAGGCAGAGTATGGTTGTGTAGAATTTCAGTTGGTTATGCCAAAATTCTATGGACTAGAAAACGGCAGTTAAATTGTAAAACAGTTTGGATATAACAATACAGCTGTCTATTGTTCATAAATACCCCTGAAAATTTCTACTTACAGCCAAAATAAATGGGTAGTATATAGTCCCTTAAAATGATATACAATATCAATACAACCAAGAGAGATATGTACATTGTTAATGTTTCAGATCAATTCTTATTCTGTTTAAGTGTACTTCATGTTACGCGCATCCAACGTGAATTGCAAAACACCCTGAAAGATGCCTCCACTTTGGTCTTTCGACTCATTAGGTGAAGGTGTATTTCAAGATAAAAAAAAACAGCTGCCTTCTTGCGTGATCTAGCGTTACTGCATTGTGATGAGACTCATATCCTGTGGCCTCAAAGCACTTCCCTTGATTAGGTCATCGTCTCTGTTCACACAGAAGCCCCAGGGGACAGTTTTTACAGAAGAATTTCAGACCGAAAGTTGGTCAAACTTTCAAACTATAATTTTGGTTCTATTTGACCCAAAATGTTATCAGTGTCTTTATAACAAGAAAGTGGTTGCTGTTTTACACTGCTAAATTTATGAAGGCATATATACCTTATTCTCTTTTTGTACATTTCAGGAAAATCCTGGACGTCTGTGGTTTGCTAGGAATATGAATGCTCAGGTAACACAGTGTATGCTAAATGCAGTTCCACACATCAATTTATAGCTTAAAACTTTGTTTCAGGGATGGATTCATAACATGTTCTCATTACAAATTTTAAAGCATGTGTGTGTGTGTGTGTGTGTGTGTGTGTGTGTGTGTGTGTGTGTGTGTGTCAATTTTTTTTCTTTTTCTTATACTTATTCTCTTGTCTTCTTTTCTTAAAATTAGGAATAATTATGGGTATAATGATAATGATAAATTTTTTTAACATTTTTCATTCCAATTTTTTCCAGAGAGTGAACACAAAGACTGTAGATGAGCAGATCTTTTACCGTCTGATCCAGTTTTTTGCTATTTGCCTCTTTGAGTGCAACGAAGCTGAGGATTTCTCTCCGGCAAAGACGCTAATGAATATGTGTTTTACATTTTGCCATGAAGGTGAGTTACAAGTTATAAAGTAGCAGGATATGTTACTAACATATTTTTTTAAAATTTATTTATTTATTTATTAGTCACAAAGGCATAGAAAGATATTTAACATTTGAAATAGATTTTAAAAAGACATATATTGAAGACAAGGATGGGAGGACACCTGCACAAGCATTGGCCTGTTACGTTTGTAGCTAGAGTGTAATCTGCACCTTACAATAGGCATTATTTGTGCCAAAATTAAGTTCTTTGTAAGAAAGAGGTTTTTCATTATCTCCAAATAGAGTGTGAAAATAGAATTATTCTTTACTTAGAGACTAAATAACATTAGTCATGTACACAAGGTTGGAATCCAGGAAAAATGAAGTTGTTTGGTATATTGGATTAGTGTTAATTTAAAACATCTTGGGATCAAACTTGTCAGCTCCCAAGGGCACCTCTGTTAAAACCTGTGGGTTTTTTTAACCCATATTATGTACCTATTGACTGGATTTTTTTTAAGAATTGCAGTTCCAAAAAACAAAAAAATTAAATAAATAAAAGGAAAAAAATTCCTTTAAAAAATATTGTGGCGAAGGGATTTGCTTCTTTGTAAATTATTCATACGTCATTTGGGACTCGGTCATTTGAGGATAGCACATAACAGACTATGTTCAGCTTTATGTACTATTTTAGGAAATATGAAAGTCAGACAAGGGACCATAGCATGCAAGAATTTTATTGACCTAAGTGGAATTTATGGAAATCATGCCTCCAGAGGTTTCCAGTGAATTTATTTTTAACATCTCAACTGCTGGGTTGTGTCTGTGTAGCTCTGTAGGGGATCATCATCCATGACTTATTACATTCCAGTTTATAAGAACAGAATCAAGTTATCACAAGAAAGGAATAGAGGAAATCACAGAAAATAACTGCATTGTCTGGGAAGTTTTATCGAATAAGATAATGTGAAAGATATTTTTTATTTATTATTTATTTTTTTTATAGTGTGGTATATGTTTACCTCTTTTCTGGTTGCTGGTTTCTCATTTCTGGTTTTACTTTGATTGCTTTTATTAACCTTACATTTTCAGGGTATTTAAATAAAGATGTAGTATACTGTGTTTACTGTGGTTCATTATATTAGTTGTGACATGTGACATGATTATTTTGTAATGACGTGTTTTTGTTGTGACATGTATTGTGTTGGTTGTGACATTGTAACATGGCATATTCATCATTGCAGTTCGCCACCCTTCAGGGCCAGTGTACAAACACTTCCTGTACAGCTATCTCAAAGACCAACCGATATGGAGATCCCTAAGATTCTGGAATGCTGCTTTCTTCGATGCTGTTCAGCATGAACGCAGTAGGCGGCATATACAAAACAGGTAATGAAGGTCGATCTTGATGTGCATTTGTAATATACAGATGTGACTGCCTAACAAAGGGTGGGACCCCTAAGTGTTGGGGCTCAGTTTAGGCTGCTGAAATCAAATGGCCTTATTAGTCAGATAAACTCAGCTGCCTTTGCTAATACTTATTTTAAAGAAAAAGTAATTATTTAGATTTAGTTTATTGGAGACAGAATACATACGGTATATGTATGCGCATGGCTACCCATCTGTATAAAATAAGAAAATTGGTCAGGTGCAGTAATTTCTCACTAAATTCTAACAACATTGAAAAATCAGAATTAAAAAACAAATTTAGATTCTTTTTTGGATAATATTTGGTAAAGATGATTCAGTGTGGTTCTTTCAGTATGTTTTTTACAAGTTACCCACCCCCCCCTCCTCAAAAAATATGAAAAGTAAAAAGTGATTTAAAAAGTAAGATATTTGAAATTTTTTGTTATCATCACAACTACTGGGAGAAATAGAATGAGATTTATGTATTTTAACAATGCCCATTCTGGCACTGATTCGACCAGCAAATACTGTCTATTAGTAATCAATAGCACAGTGCAGTGGGCGTGCAGTGCATTTTTCATAAGCACACTCTGGGGAATTGATCGGCAGTTCTCCTGTATAGGGAAAACTGGAATGGAAAGGTCTTTTCACATTGAGCATTTTATCTTAGCATTCCATCTGTAGTCGTATGTTTTGAGAGATTAACAGTTAAATACTTGTAGTTGGCATGGGCTGTTATATAAGAGAATCAGTAAAACAGACCCTGCCAGTGCTCTACACAGCCAATTTATTTTGATAAGTGCATATTTCGTTGGTGTTAATTGGGCAAAGAGGGAGGTTTTTCTTACTGTGGTTTAGGGAATTTTTTCTGTCAGCCTTTCAAACATGCAGCACCGCTAATTCAAAAGCAGGTTGTAGATTTAAACCTCTTTACCTTCGTCTTCTTTGCAAACCTGTCGGTCAGTTTCTGCTTCAGGTTCGTTAAGGTGTTAACTTTATTCTTCTATAATTTTTCATTTTGTCTATTTTAAAAAAATCAGAATGCTGTGCGATTACACTTGCTCATCCTTAATTTGTTTTTACAATGATTTTGTGTCCCATTTTATATGCACAAAAGATCAAAAGCCATTCAAAGTTATTTACATCACATCCTCATTTTGTGACTTCCAGTTCATTACCAAATGAATGTTAAAGTTGGCACTTCTCAAAGATGTTTCTTTTAACAGCAGGATGTAGAGTTTTTGCATATTACCCCCAGTAAAAACTGGTGAGGTGATTAGATTTTCAAATGGTTAAATATCCGCTGCTGTTTGATTGCATTTTCATCCATTGAGATCAATATGAACAGCATTTGTAGAGAAATTAGTAGGAAATCGGATTTTCTCAGGAATTAGAAATGATTTGTGGAAATCTTTTTCCGCATCAAGATCCAAACTGAAAGGCGAGAGTATTGATTGAAATTCGCTGAGAAAAGAATACTCTGGTAAAAAGAAGGCTTCAGTATTTTCCATGAATTTTGCATATAAAAGACATCCTCTAATTCCTGCAAAGAAGAGAATACCCTGATAAAAATGAAGAATAGCCTGATTGTGTAAAATAAAGGATTGACAATGCCCCCCCCCCCCTCTACCCCCCACTAAATTTTGCTGAGAATATAACAAGTATAGAATTGGGCTTTAGAATTTTACTGAGAAGTTTTTGAAAAGTTTTGATTTTGATTAATTCATTATGATCGCAATATTTCAGTGGGAATGATAATGAGGACCGGAGGGATGATAGGAAATTTGAGAGGAACATCACATTTGGTCAGCTGGGGTGAGTAACCATTTTGTGTGTGTGTGTGTGTGTGTGTGTGTGTGTGTGCACATTATTATCTTTTGAATTATTTGAACAAAACCTTCAAGTTGTTAAAAAACGAATTTGGAATTAGTAGCCACAAATAACAGCAACATTAACAACCTTTTCCCCCTTTATTTGCTGTGATAGATTTGATGAAACACAATCAGCCTTTTTAGCAATATGCAGTACCTTAATTTCTTTTTCAGGAACTTCACCAGCAATATGCTTGCCCTAGGACTTACTAAACAGCTGTGTCTGGAGTTCCTGAAGAAGCAATCAACCATCGCAAGTTTGAAAGAAGGTACTGTAACATGTACATTTTAGATTTGTTTGTATAGAGAAGTTTCAGTTAAATCTTCTCTATTTAAGTATTTCTAAATTATTTTCTACTCTACTAGTAATTTAGGATAAATGTACAGTACTTTCATAAAATAGGGTAACATGATATCAGTAATTTTTTTGTTTCCAGAACAACAGAAAATGTTAGAGGAGAATATACACAACTGGAAAGAGCAGGCTGTGATGAAATAATATCCTTGCATGTAGTCAAATCACAGGGACTTGGAAAGCTAAGCTGGGGCAAAATTTTGAAGCCAGAGAGACTTGGAAACTGTGATTATGAAAATACCCAGCCCCTGTGTCATAGACAATCATTGTCAGTTAAAAAGTTGATGTCCCTCTCCTGAAGTACACACTTGTTCGGAGGCGTGTGTCCAGGTGACACGTCTGAACATTGATCGCTGTTGATTCGGCAGATCTGTCCAGAAAGTGTCCCGTTTCTCGCACACTTCTATGATATGGGCGCTCCCGCTGCCTCGCCGCACGGTCGAGTACCTCCGAAATTCATATCGTCCCACCTTACGGTTGGGTAAAAGGGTTTATAAAAATTCACTTGTATAGTCATATGCATCAACACCAAAATAATGATAATTAATACCATGCACACATATATATCAGAGTTGTCAGCATTTTGAAATTGATATTGGGGGGGGGGAGCAAGATTCAGAAAAGTGTATATAACTGCTCAGATGCCCTCAAGCAGGGATGGGTAGAGTGGAGAAGACGAGATGGGGATTGAATGTGTGTGTGAGAGAGAGAGAG